TGCAAGAGTGGAGTCCAGGTCCGCTCGAAACCGGGCAACTTTGTCCGCCAAGAACTGAACATACTCCTCAGCCTTACCCTGTATTATTCGGGCTGATGGCAATTAGAATTCCACACCTGTATTGCGCAGCTTGCCTGAAAATAAATCTGGTTAAAAAAATCCTTTATAGTCCACAATGTTCTCTGGAAATTTGCCAGCAACTCTTAAAAAGCAGGGGGAGAGAAAAACAAGATCTGTTAAACTTTGACTTATTGGAAACTTGTGCTTGAAATCAGGCTGTATCTGATTTCCAGAATTGTTCATTCAGTTCGGGAATGATAAGATCCAATTCGTCACCTGAACGACGTTTCCCAGAGTGTAGGGTGCTAGGAATTACAGTTGTACACCGTTTCGGAATTCCTAGATCTCTTACCCCGATTGGTCTCAGGCATAGCAAATCTCTTCCCCCGACTGAAGTTGGCTGATCCCGGAGGCTAACTTTGGTTACAGTACCTGCTGGAAAAGGAAACTTTCTCCGATCCTGAACAAAGATGTAGTCTTCAGATACAGGTAGTCATTGACTTAATTCCTGTTCTGACCCAGCCTTAGCAAAAACAAGAAACAGGCTCCTTGTCATAAAAACCCCTCTTTATTTACCTCTTGTGAATTAATTGCATTCACCCACCGAAAGTCCAGGCAAAAGTCCTGCAAGGAGTTAACTGAAGCGACCTTATTACTTCCTTGTGATAATTGCAAGGCCGTGAGCTCCCAAACAAAAGGCTGCAAATTAAGTTCTGGCAAGCAGTCTTTGTTGCACGAAACACAATGGGCAAAATCTCCAGAAACACGAACTGTTGTCTCCTACGACAACCACTCCCCTTTCCTTCTATTTATTCCGCAGCCAAGGAGGGGCCCTTCAGCATACATGTTTGCTGTGCTTCCTGAGTCGACTCCTTGTCCTCCGTTGTTCTCCTCTCCTAACTGCTCTGGGAGCAGCTGTTCTTCCTCCTCACTCATCTCAGCCTCCAAAGGCAGGTGCCTCTCCGGTGGCTGAGAAATGTTGGATGGCCTTGGCTCTATCTCTGTGTCCGATGCTGAGCATCCATCAGAGCATTCCCCAGGCTCCAGAACTGCCCCAGGTTCCTCCCCAAGTTCCTCATCATCCGAGTCTGCCATCAGCTCCTCTGGCAGCTGGCGGGCCACAACACCACCTTTCATTTAATAACTCTTCGAACTTATAAAGACACTCATAAAAGTGATCAGAATTTGGGCACTTGGCAACCGGGATGTATTGATGATAGTTGAAACATTCTGGGATCAGGTGGCCACCTTTTTTGACTTGAGCAAAGTCAGGGGGGGGGGGAGAATCCAGCTTTGCTTAACGACTCTGTGTTTCACTTAACAATTGCAGCCATTTATTTTCCAACCATGACAAAACAGTCATAACTTTGGTTGCTTTACTGCCACCTTGTTCAGCGATGGAAATTCTCATCCCAATAATGGTCGTTAAGTCAAGGACGTCCTGTAAAAACAATTTCAAAACATAGCCAAAGGGCCAGTCAAATAGCTGGAAGATGGTAATATTCGGACCCATTAGAAATGTTGCTCACATTTTCTCCCTTCGAAATGGAGCCACTAATTTGGATGCTTCTGAGTATGGCTAGTTGCTATGGAAATGCAGTTTCGCATTTAACTATTTCCCCCCTCCCCTCCTGCAGTTAGATGGTTTCCTCTGGTTTTTCTTTCTGGGCTCCTTCTGTGTATGCTGTTGCCACAGAAACAATGCTGCAGAGGAATATTAAAACCCGTTGTTCTCTCTTAAAAGCAGTGTTCCCTCAAGTGTTCCTTCTCGTGTTTGATCTGCCCGCCCACTTCAGAAAAGTTCATTTTTTAAAAACAAATCATAGTAGAGCACGGGTGTCAAACTCAAGGCTTGTGGGCCAAATTCAGCCCACAGGGTGCTTAAATCTGGCCTGCAGTGCCTGGAAAATGCAAAGGACCGGCCCATGGTGCCTCTGACCACCAAAATGGGGCATGGAGGAAGGGGGGCTGCATGAGTCCTTCCCCATGCCCCATTTTAGGCCTGGATGGCTAAACCAGGGCACGGGCGTCAGGGTTCCGATGGATGCCCTAATGAAATCATGAGCCTCGAGCCAAGCTTCAAAAGAAATCCAGTTATTTATTAGCAGCTTCATGTTGGCACATTCCCAAGTAAAGCCAGCTCTGACCTCATGTAATTTAGGGCCCCAATCATGACCCTATTTTCCCCCCCTCCCCCCAGGATGTGTCACCAATCGCATTCACCAATGGGGCAATTTCTCAGTTGTAGAGATCACTCCCCTCCGGCCGCTTCAAGTAACCCTGGGATACAGCCTTGAGAGGGATAAGTGTGGAATGTGCACCTGTCTTTTGCTGCCATGCAGTTTCATTGGTTTCCCATCACTCCTTTCCTAGGGCAACTCGAGAGCAAAACAGGAATGCTTTGCGAGTTGACAATGGCGGGGGGGGGGGCTTTGTGGGGATCTCCCCTGCCCCATTTTGGCATATACATATATACATACATACATACATACATACATACATACATACATACATACATACATACATACATACATACATATATATATGTATGTAAGTGGAACCTTTCCCTTTGCTACTCTAGTTAACTGTTCGTAGGAATTTTCTTTTATTTTCTTTCGTATGGATGTGATTTAAACTTTAGCGGTAGAGATTTAGCTCTTCAGCAGAATTTATGGGATTTAGGTTAAATCCTGGGAACTGGTGAGGATGAAATAATGCATTAGTAAGAATTGGGGGATGGGCATTTGGAAGTTAATGATTTGAACAAATCACTGAATACAGCACTCATATGATGTCAAATGTTCATGTTATCTTCTAATAGGACACAATAAAAGGTGAACTTATCACTCATTTTTTAATCTCATCCAACTTGGTGGTAAGTGGGGCATAGAAAATATAATGCCATAAAAATATTTTATGGGAACATGTTATCTTATTCATGAAAAATAATTGATGGCAATAAATATTGCTCTGCTCGGCAGTGACAAATTTCACTTAGTAATATGGTAATCCTCCAATTCTTTTAATTTCTCCACTGCTTTCAGTCTGTGAGTAAGTCAAACAAAGGTCCCTGCTACCAATTCTCAAACAAAAACAATAATGTTCTACAGGTAGTACCCCACTTACAACAGTTCATTTAGTGACCATTCAAATTACAACGGCATTGAAAAAAGTGACTTATAACCATTTTTCCACACTTAACAACCGTTGCAACATCACGTGATTTATATTCAAATGCTTGACAACTGACTCACATTTATGATGATTTGCAATGTCCCGGGGTCACGTGATCCCCCTTTGCAACCTTCAGACAAGCAAAGTCAGTGGGGAAGCCAGATTCACTTAACGACTGTGTTACTAATTTAACAACTTGCAGTGATTCACTTAACAAACATGGTGAGAAAAGTCGTAAAATGGGGCAAAACTCACTTAACAAATGTCTCACTTAGCAACATTGATTTTGGGCTCAGTTGTAGTCGTAAATTGAGGTCTACTTGTATTTACATCATGTGAGAGAGGCAGCTTCATCAGTGCAGTGAAGAAGGGACCAGTGTAGAGGATCAAGGAGCAACTCCAAAAAAATGTGAAAACCCTTTTTAAATTAAACTAGCTGATAACCCAACACTGCGCGGGTATTTATTTATCCCAGTCCTCCTTCCATGAATGAATGTCTAATTTCTAATGTTGGATTTTCCCTCTTACCAGAGGGAGCCCACTTGTGGAGTACTGTGAAGCCATTACCATGGCAACTCCACAGCACTGTACAGTAGAAGCCATTTTAAGGCAGTACGGTAGAAGCCATTTTAAGGCACAACAGGCTGTATCTTAACCAAACAAATATCCTGAGGGATGTTAGAGGTGTCCTACCCCCACAGTATTTGTTTCCAGAGAGTAAGTCATGTTTGTACCAAGTTTGATTGAAATTGCTCGTAGCGTTCCAGAGTTTTGCTGGAACATACACACACACACACGCANTTGTTGTTGGGGGCAATATGCTGACTCTGTAAACCGCTTAGAGAGGGCTGAAAGCCCTATGAAGCGGTATATAAAAATCTGCTATTGCTATAAAATCTGCTATTGCTATTGCATCAGGGATACAGTAGTATAGGTTTAATCTGGCAAGATTCTGTCTGTATGGTATGAACAAAGAAAGAACTGAACTTTGGCTCAATTGTTCTAGGCCAAACTTTGTGACCAAATTTCGTGACAGTTTCCCCCTTCACGCAGCTGGAGTGGGCATGGCCTGCACATGATGCATCCAGCCTGCGGGTGGTCAATTTGACACCTCTGTAATCTAAGCCGTTCTTTGGCCTGGGACTGACAGGTTGATGCAAATCTTAACTGGATAACCTTTTCTTCACTGTGTCAACTGCAGGAGCCAAATTGGTTAAATCATGGAGCTGTTGTCCACCCCACACAGCATCGAGATCAACAATATCACCTGTGACTCCTTTCGAATTTCTTGGTCCATGGATGTTGGAGACCTGGATAGGGTTACCCACTACTTCATTGATTTGAACAAGAAGGAAAATAAAAGCTCCAACAAGTTCAAACACCGGGTGAGTCTCTAGAGTGGCATAAATGTTGGTGTGCGGAGTAGGGCAGAAATCATTATAACATCTTGTCTCTCCTTGAGCGTTCTTTTGCTTCATGATTATAATTTTATTTTTAATTCCTGTTGGATCCTTCTTAGAAGCAGCCCCCACCAGTTAGGATCCTTCCAACTTGGTCTCTGTTGGACTGCAACTCTGGTGGACGAAGCTGTCCCCATTTCCCTAAAATTGTCATTGTTGCATTTTCAGCACTACATGCATGCAACCTTCTCCTCCACAGCCCCATACAAAGGATAGCTGCCTTCATAATCTGACCAACATAGCCACAAGTTTATTTATTATTGTGATGTTCTGAAAAGGCTTTAAATTGTACACCCAAACATCTGAATAGCATTTGGATAAAGGGTAAGCAATGTAACCTACCTTTTTCAGATTATAAGATGCACCTAAATTTACAGGAGGAAAACCAAAAAAAATAGTTTTTGGCCTCCGCGCGTTTCATTTTTGCTCCCCCCCGGCCCCCAGATGCACTCTGCTGTGCTCCGCATGGCCTGTTTTCACCCAAAACACCTATTTTTGGACTGCAGTGTGCTTCTGGGTGCCTAGGCGGGCAAGAATGCAATGTGCAGAGGACTTGGGAGCCCAAAACCGGGGCCATTTTTGGCTAAAATGGGCCTTGAGGATCACTGCAGAGTGCTTTTGAGGGCAGGGGAGGGTGAAAATGTGACGTGTGGAGTGTTTGGGAGGCCAAAAATGCCCATATTCAGTCTATAAGACATACCTAGATTTTCACCCACTTTTAGGGGGAGAAAAGGTGCATAAGATGAACCTATGCTGCAAAAAATATGGTAATTCCTCTTTGGAAGCCCCCATGAGCATGTCTATACTATGTCCTTAAGGTGGTTATTATTAGCGATTCCTCCAGCCCAGGGAACCATGGGAATTGTAGTTTCTAAACCAAGCTAGAGTTTGATGAGATCGAATTCTCTCATTATTATTATTATTATTATTATTATTATTTAGATTTTTTATTTAGCATTTATAGGCCGCCCTTTTCCCTGAGGGGACTCAGGGCGGCTTACAATAGTAAGGGAAGGGGAGTGAANAGACAGACAGACAGACAGACAGACAGACAGACAGACAGATAGATATAGATAGATATAGATATAGATATAGAGATATAGAGATAGAGATAGAGATAGATATTTGCACCACCGAATACCTATACATATTTTTGGTTAATTTAGGACAGCAATTTCTAATTAATCTAGTTCTCTTAAATGTGTATCTTACTGACAATTATAGTAGCAGTAGATGCCAGATTAGAGACAATGAGTGAAGACACTTAACCAGTCAAAATAATCTATTAAAAGGATGCAAAACTGTTATAGTGTTTTCAGAAGGACTGACCCAAACAGGATGTTTTTCTTTCTGCCTCATCCAAAAAGAGGAAGATTTCAGGACAGTGCTTATTAAGTCCCACATCCATATAACCTTAAAAGCAAACTTTGCTTTTAGAGAAATTTAAGAGATGCTTAGATTGAACTGAAGGTAATGGAACTTGGCTTATGAGTCAGCTTCCTACTAAAAGGAATCTACTTTCAACCAACTAATTTTTAAGCATCCTTTGTATGACTAACCTTTTGCAACACCCCCCAATTGATGGATACTTCAAATGGAAGGTGTTTTTTTTAATGGAACAATTTGTCCAGGAGCAAAAAATAATAATGGAAAGGTATGGCATGGCATGTTGGTAAAAGCTGCATAAATATTTACAAAGGTATACATAATATAGGTGTTAGTCACAAAACAGAATGGGAGAACTTACTTTCTCCAGTATCTGGACACTCATTTTGTGGGGAGAGGACATTTCACTGAAATGTAAAAATGAGGTAAAATAAGATAGGAAACCTGGTTGGGTCCCTAAAACTATGTTTATGCATTGGGTATACATCAGGAACTCTAATTCTACAGTATAAAATGTGATTGGACACTGGATCCTTTTTTTGATAGGATTTTTTTAAAGTAGTAACCAAAAGTTCCTAACTAGATTCTTTCTAAACTAGACTCTTCAAAGCCATGATCTGTAGTAATTCAAATGATGATTTGCACTCATGCATGGAAGTCATCCGGACCCATAGAATGCAGTGCCAACTGGTTCTAGAGTCCGACTTTTGCATTTAATTGTATCCAGCTGTGGGTTTCACATTTTGTTGCCACTGTTTCGCCCTACGTGTGCCCGCTTTACGGGTGCATGAACCCCTTCCGTCCATGTGCCCGGCCTTCTGCGCATGCGCTTTGCTCATGCGCGCACCTTCTGCACATGCACCCTGCCTCAAAAACATGCCTAAATAAGATAGCATAGAGCTGGGGTGAATGGGTGGGCCTATCCACGATTTCCGCTACCGTTTCAGGCGAACCGGTTCAAACTGGCTGAATACCACCTCTGATTGTATCCATTGCTCTTGGAGCCACCAAGTTCATTGCCATTTAGCTGAACATTCCTCAAAATGACATCTGAATTAAGAAGAGATTCTTTTTTGGACATTCTCTTCAACCAGTTTCCAAGTGCTCTTTAATCAATTGCAATTGCATGAACATATGCAAGCACCCAAGATTTATAACGGAGGATGAGTTTCTTTTTGTGTAAGGTAACACATTATTCATTCTAATGCACAACCCCTAAGGACAAGGGATGCAATATGTGAGTGTAGTTTTGCTCAATCTATCAATCCTGTCAACTCTGAAGCTGGCCTGACTGAGGCCATCTTGGAGGCTTCAGTGTTGCCATAATGGTGCTGAGGGATGGGGAGGGGGGGGATAGAGATAGCTGGAGTTTTGTAGCCAAAACAAAATAGTTTCCCCCTGAGAACCAAGGTCATTCCCACAGGAAGCTGGAAGGAGAAGACTATGGGTGTATTACTTGGAACCCTGACACCTGCATCTTCAGTTGTCTAGGGGAGGGGGGCACAAGGTAAGTGATAAACCTTTATATCTATAGATTTTATAGTAAATTGTAATCATCACAGAATGCCTATTAAATAAACAGGTATCCTTCGAAAAAGTGATTTTTTTGTTTCTATCATGGGATCCAGGTCACTCAACAAAGTGATAGAGGGGATGCAAACCACAAGAGGTTGAAAATTGCTATTTTAGGTGACACTGTCAAGTTCTGGTGGCAAGTTTTCTCAATCTTCACATCTTTTAAGATGTGTGGCTGGTCAATTCTAGGAGTTGAAATCCACACATCATAAAGTTGCCAAGGTTGATAAACATTGCCCTGGAGTCTGTGGAGATTATCCGTGATTCGGGTCATAGTTTCAAAGGTGCTTTTTTCTTCAAAAGATGGTGAGTGTTTTTTTCAAAATTTATGGACTTAAAAATCCATCTCTGTTCGAATTGAATACCCCTCCCTCAACAGAGGGGCAGGAATAGGACACCCACTATCTCCATTCTATAACACAGTCCTTTCAGAGCCGTGGTGGCGCAATCGTTAGAGTGCAGTACTGCAGGCTACTTCTGCTGACTGCCGGCTGCCTGCAATTTGCCAGTTCAAATCTCACCAGGCTCAAGGTTGACTCAGCCTTTCGTCCTTCCGAGGTGGGTAAAATGAGGACCCAGATTGTTGGGGGCAGGAGGTCAACTCTGTAAGCCGCTTAGAGAGGGCTGTAAAACAATGTGAAGCGTTATATAAGTCTAAGTGCTATTGCTATTCAGCAGTACCAAGGAGGTTCTACAACCAATTGCATCCTGATTCAGGTGACTCCGAGGGCACAATAAAGCCCTTATAGTGGCCTCAAGAGCTCTCACATAGAGTTCTAATGACCACATGACTGCAAAAAAATACAATCTTTTCATTAACACACCCCCCCCACCATTATATCAGAACCCATCTTTCCATCCCCCCGGCCATCCAATCCTCAACTGTCAGTCCTATCCTTCCATCCTCCTGCCATCAGAATGGATGAAGCTTCTTGGAAGGGAAGCGAAACGTTTTCTTCCTCCTCCTCAAGAAAAACAACAATAGTCGGGTTGCCTTTTGAAGAAAAAAAGCACCTTTGAGATACTGGCCTATAGGTTGCGGGGGAGACCCACCAGGTATAACCACAGGTCTGCATTAACTAAGACTGCTCCAATAACGTGGTTTGGAATGCTCTGAAATCTAGCCAACTGCATTGTCTAGAGTTTCCTTGAGAGAGAAGCAGATGGGGAAACGATCAAATCTTAGGAAATGGAATGATTTCTATAACGGTCATGTCACTTTTTTCAGCGTGATGATAACTTCAAATGAACTGTTGTAAGTTGAGAGCTACCTGTATGTTGATCTATATAAGGTGAATAATCAAGCCATACCCCTCCAGATTTTGCAAATAATAATAATTTTACAAAGCCACTTCTATGTTCTAGGAAAAGGGACGCAGTGGCTCAGTGGCTAAGTCACTGAGCTTATCGATCAGAAATAGCGGCAGTTTGGTGGTTTGAATCCCTAGTGCCGCATAACGGAGTGAGGTCCAGTTACTTGTCCCAGCTTCTTCCAACCTAGCAGTTCAAAATCACTAAAAATGCAAGTAGAAAATTAGAAATCACATTTGGTGGGAAGGTAACAGCATTCTGTGCACCTTCGGTATTTAGTCATGCCGGCCACATAACCACGGAGACGTCTTCGGACAGCGCTGGCTCTTCAGCTTTGAAATAGAGATGAGCACTGCCCCCTAGAGTCAGGAATGACTAGCACATATGTGCGAGGGGAACCTTTATGTTTACCTTAGTGCAAGCTTCCTTTGGTTTCATGGTCCTAAAGGTTCAGCACAGCCTTTTTAATGTTTGCGACATTAATGTCACCCTCCTTCCAGTTTCATCCATTTCAATATCCTTCTAATATACTCTAGTTTCAAGGACATCTGCTTGGAGTAAAGTGCAAAGAGAAGGAGTAGCAGAACCTGGGGGTGGAGTTAAAAGAGGGATCAGCCTAGAATCCCTATGTGGTCACAAGTGGACTAAGTCCAATCACCATTAAATTATATTGACCCTTATCTAACTCCAAGCAGGTGTCAACTATGAACTGAGAACATCCCCTTGTATAGGCAAGAGTAGCAATAAATCAGTTTAATTGGACCTTCATGTATGGACCTGATCTTTTACCCTTGACAAAGAGGGAGCAGGTGAATGTCAGATTGTACAATCGTATATGATGCGAGTTATTTCATTCTGGTCACAAAGTGATGGTATCATGACATTTGCAATGTCATTGTGGCGTGTCACCAATATCTATGTCTGGTTTCTCTAGAACAGGGCAGGGGTGAGTTCCGGCAGTCACTACTGCTGGTTCGCTCATGGGCATGCCAGGCGCGCATGCACAGAGCACTACAAATTGCTCTGTGCATGCGCAGAAGCAAAAAACAAGATGGCAACAGGTTCAGGGGTGCGCCAGGCCTGGGTTGCTGCTGCATTCCAGCGACCCAGGTTGCCAAACTACTACTGTTCAGACAAACCAGGCCAAACCGGTAGGAACCCAGCACTGGAGCAGGGGTGTCAAACTCAAGGCCTGGGGCCTGGATCCAGCCTTTAGGGTTCTTAGATCTGGCTGGCGCAGCCGCCCCACAAACAGCAAAGGACCAGCCTGCGTGCAGCCCTTTTAAGCTCTGTTTTTGCTGGCAGAGGGTTGCAGGAGGCCATCGCAGCTGAAAACAAAGCTTGGGAACTGTTTTCGCTGGCAGAACACTCGGGCCACCACAGGCGACCCCAACATGAGTGACATTAAGCTGGCCACGCCCAACCTGGCCATGCCCACCCCAGCCCCAAGTCAAACACAACCCTGATACGGCCCTCAATGAAATCGAGTTTGACACCCCTCTAGGACCTCTTCTCCTTCTCTGTCAATGATCTGATGATGTTTTAACAGTCGTGGCCCAGCAATGTCCATGGCCCAAATGTAGTTGGCTTCACTGACATGGCTTGCCTCTTTTCTTTCTGCAGGATGTCCCTACCAAGCTGGTAGCTAAGGCAGTGGCCTTACCTATGACAGTGAGGGGCCACTGGTTTCTGAGTCCCAGGACAGAGTACAGCGTGGCAGTGCAGACTGCAGTGAAGCAAAGTGATGGAGAGTACCTTGTCTCTGGATGGAGTGAGACGGTCGAATTCTGCACAGGAGGTGAGTGGGCAAGAGAAAGGGTCAATGCAAAATGAGATTTCCATGCCTACCTGGTAGACATTCCGCATCACGTTCGGTGGCAGAATCATTCTACCCCACCAAGACCATCAATCCACTGTAAGGTGTTCTGATGAAACCATTGGCAGTTCCATACTATGGGAGATGACCAGGCTGAGCCCAAGGGAGAAGTCAAACGCATCATAAGTTGCGAGTCCCTCCACCCCACAAGAGATCTAAATCCAGCTCACCTTGAATTCCTTTCTATTCTTATCTCCCGCTCATTTCCCTTAACCACCAGTGGGTCAGATTCTTGTAGAGAACTTAAGCTTGCAGTAAATCTTTATATTCATTTGAATTGCCTGAATCTCCTGATTTCCCGGGCGTTTGACACATACAGCCATCACCATCTGATAAGTTCCGTGATGCATCCTAAATTGTTGAGGGTCTTTTTCTACTTATTTTTAAAAAGGAATTTCTACCTTTTGCTGGAGAAGTTTTAACCAGGCACACATGATGCCGTTTCCTACCAAAATCAGCTTGTTCCATCTTCTGGTCTTAAGGCCAGTGAAGGCAACAGCTATGGAATTATTGGTGCACTACCAACACTTAATTCTGTATTTTAAAATAATTCATGTTTAATTTAGTGGATTAACATTACACATACATGCATTGCAACTTGAGGGTTTTTCATTGCTTCCTCATTGACTTAGCTCCCTCCACCACTTTCCCTCTGGCTTCAGTCTCTTAATGGAGCCACAGAGAACTTGGTTTGGTTTTTCAGTAGCTTCCTGGCAGAGAAAGGGCTGCAGGATTGAATTTCTCTGCCCCACCCATCAATCCTATTTCCCTATTAACCATCTTGGCAAAAATAAAGGCTATCATTCGTGCATCCTTTTGTGCAATTTCCAGTTTAAAGCCCTTACTGTTCTCTCTTTTTTTTAAATTAATTTTTATCAAATACTTTTTAAAAAGAAAGATAAAAATTAATGCACACTAGTATAAAGTGTACATAGCATAGGCTATGGCTTTCCCAGTTGCAATGTATGGCTGTGAAAGTTGGACCATAATAAAGGCTGAGTGCCAAAGAATTGAGGCCTTAGAACTCTGGTGCTGGAGAAGACTCCTGCGAGTCCCGTGGACTGCAAGGCCATCCAACCAGTCAGTCCTAGAGGAGATCAACCCTGACTGCTCTTTAGAAGGCCA